TTGTCACATGCGCCAAATACAACAGGTGTAGACCTTACAGTGAAATGCTTACTTACTGTTTTCAAGAAAGAATAAAATAAAAAAAACACACAAAAATACAATATAAAATAATACGGAATAAAAGTACAAAATAATTAAAGAGCAGCAGTAAAAATAACAGTAGGGAGGCTGTATACAGGGGGTACCGGTACAGAGTCAATGTGAAATAACAGTAGGGAGGCTATATACAGGGGGTACCGGTACTGAGTCAATGTGAAATAACAGTAGGAAGGCTATATACAGGGGGTACCGGTACTGAGTCAATGTGCGGGGGCACCGGTTAGTCAAGGTAATTGAGGTAATATGTACATGTAGGTAGAGTTATTAAAGTGACTATGCATAGATAATAAACTACCGTGCGGTAGCAGAGAGAACAGTCTGTGACTAGGGTGGCTGGATTCTTTGACAATTTTTAGGGCCTTTCTCTGACACCGCCTGGTATAGAGGTCCTGGATGGCAGAGGTCTGTAGTGCCTTGCGGTCGGAGGACGAGCAGTTGCCATACCAGGCAGTGATGCAACCAGTCAGGATGCTCGCGATGGTGCAGCTGTAGAACCTTTTGAGGATCTGAGGACCCATGCCAAATCTTTTCAGTCTCCTTAGGGGGAATAGGTTTTGTCGTGCCCTCTTTACGACTGTCTTGGTGTGTTTGGACCATGTTAGTTTGTTGGGGATGTGGACACCAAGGAACTTGAAGCTCTCAACCTGCTCCACTACAGCCCCGTCGATGAGAATGGGGGCGTGCTCAGTCCTCTTCTTTTTCCTGTAGTCCACAATCATCTCCTTTGTCATGATCACGTTGAGGGAAAGGTTGTTGTCCTGGCACCACACGGCCAGGTCTCTGACCTCCTCCCTATAGGTTTTCTCGTCGTTGTCGGTGTTCAGGCCTATCACTGTCATCGGCAAACGTAATGATGGTGTTTGAGTCGTGCCTTGCCATGCAGTCATGAGTGAACAGGCAGTATAGGAGGGGACTGAGCACGCACCCCTGAGGGGCCCCCGTGTTGAGGATCAGCGTGGCGGATGTGTTGTTACCTACCCTTACCACCTGGGGGCGGCCCGTCAGGAAGTCCAGGATCCAGTTTCAGAGGGAGGTGTTTAGTCCCAGGATCCTTAGCTTAGTGATGAGCTTTGAGGGCACTATGGTGTTGAATGCTGAGCTGTAGTCAATGAATAGCATTCTCACATAGGTGTTCCTTTTGTCCAGATGTGAAAGGGCAGTGTGGAGCGCAATAGAGATTGCATCATCTGTGGATCTGTTGGGGCGGTATGCAAATTGTAGTGGGTCTAGGGATTCTGAGATAATTGTGTTGATGTGAGCCATGACCAGCCTTTCAAAGCACTTCATGGCTATAGATGTGAGTGCTACGGGTCGGTAGTCATTTAGGCATGTTACCTTAGTGTTCTTGGGCACAGGGACTATGGTGGTCTGCTTGAAACATGTTGGTATTACAGACTCAGACAGGGAGAGGTTGAAAATGTCAGTGAAGACACTTACCAGTTGGTCAGCACATGCTCGGAGTACACGTCCTGGTAATCCGTCTGGCCCTGTAGCCTTGTGAATGTTGACCTGTTTAAAGGTCTTACTCACATCGGCTACGGAGAGCGTGATTACACAGTCATCCGGAACAGCTGATGCTCTCATGCATGTTTCAGTGTTACTTGCCTCGAAGTGAGCATAGAAGTAATTTAGCTCGTCTGGTAGGCTCGTGTCACTGGGCAGCTGGTGGCTGTGCTTCCCTTTGTAGTCTGTAATAGTTTTCAAGCCCTGCCACATCCGACGAGCGTCAGAGCCGGTGTAGTACGATTCAATCTTAGTCCTGTATTGACTCTTTGCCTGTTTGATGGTTCGTCCGAGGGCATAGCGGGATTTCTTATAAGCTTCCCGGGTTAGAGTCCCGCTCCTTGAAAGCGGCAGCTCTACCCTTTAGCTCAGTGCGGATGTTGCCTGTAATTCATGGCTTCTGGTTGGGGTATGTACGGACAGTCACTCTGGGGACGACGTCATCGATGCACTTATTGATGAAGCCAGTGACTGATGTGGTGTACTCCTCAATGCTATCGGAAGAATCCCGGAACATATTCCAGTCTGTGCTAGCAAAACAGTCCTGTAGCTTAGCATCTGCTTCATCTGACCACTTTTTTTATTGACCAAGTCACTGGTGCTTCCTGCTTTAGTTTTTGCTTGTAAGCAGGAATCAAGAGGATAGAATTATGGTCAGATTTGCCAAATGGAGGGCGAGGAAGAGCTTTGAACGCGTCTCTGTGTGTGGAGTAAAGGTGGTCTAGAGTTTTTTCCCTCTGATTGCATATTTAACATGCTGGTAGAAATTAGGTAAAACAGATTTAAGTCCCCGGCCACTAGGAGCGCCACCTCTGGATGAGCGTTTTCCTGTTTGCTTATGGCCGTAGACAGTTCATTGAGTGCGGTCTTAGTGCCAGCATCGGTTGGTGGCGATAATTAGACAGCTACGAAGAATATAGATGAAAACTCTCTTGGTAGATAGTGTCGTCTACAGCTCATCATGAGATACTCTACCTCAGGCAAGCAAAACCTTGAGACTTCCTTAGATATCGTGCACCAGCTGTTGTTTACAAATATACATAGACCGCCACCCCTTGTCTTACCAGAGGATGATGTTCTATCCTGCCTATACAGTGTATAACCCACCAGCTGTATGTTATTCATGTCTTCGTTCAGCCACGACTCTGTGAAACATAAGATATTACAGTTTTTAATGTCCCGTTGGTAGGATATTCATGCCTGTAGTTCGTCCACTTTATTATCAAGCGATTGTAAGTTGGCCAATAGTATCGATGGCAAAGGCAGATTTGCCACTCGTCGCCGGCTCCTTACCAGGCACCCCGATCTCCTTCCGCGATATCTCCTTTTCTTTCTACTGCGAATGACGGGGGCCCTATCGGGTGTCTGGAGCAAATCCCTCTCGTCCGACTCGAGAAAGAAAAATGATTAGTCCAGTTCAAGGTGATTAATCGCTGTTCTGATGTCCAGAAGCTCTTTTTGGTCATAAGAGACGGTAGCAGCAACATTATGTACAAAATAAGTTACAAACAATGCGAAAAAACACACAAAATAGCACGGTTGGTTAAGACGGCAGCCATCACCTCCAACGCCATCTTCACAATTGGTAGAATTGGTAACCCCCCTGCCAGTACAGTCCATGCAGGTCTAATGTTGGCCAGACAGGCCAGGCAGGTCTAATGTTGGCCAGACAGGCCAGGCAGGTATAATGTTGGCCAGACAGGCCAGGCAGGTCAAATGTTGGCCAGACAGGCCAGGCAGGTCAAATGTTGGCCAGACAGGCCAGGCAGGCCTAATGTTGTACAGACAGGCCAGGCAGGTCTAATGTTGGCCAGACAGGCCAGGCAGGTCTAATGTTGTACAGACAGGCCAGGCAGGACTAATGTTGGCCAGAGAGACCAGGCAGGTCTAATGTTGTACAGACAGGCCAGGCAGGTTTAATGTTGGCCAGACAGGCCAGGCAGGTCTATTGTTGTACAGACAGGCCAGGCAGGTCTAATGTTGGCCAGACAGGCCAGGCAGGTCTAATGTTGTACACACTAGGCTAGCCAGGGAGCCAGGTCTGTTGATTGGTTGGTTGGTCGGTCGGTCTTGCAAGAGGATCTGCTTTCAACCATGTGGCAAAAATATTTAGTGATTGAAAATATGAATTTCAGGAAGCTTTTCCTTCCCCGTGTGTTTGAGCCTCTGTGTGTGTAGCAGTAGGGATGGCATGGTAACTTGCTGTCCGTTCGACTCACGCGTCCGACACTCAACAGTTGACCATAAATATGAGTCTGTTACTCCTCCGCTCTCTCCCTGACCACATGATAATAGGCTGGGATGGCAGAATACAGGCTGAGCTCCTACTCTGCTGACACACACACACACAGAGGGAGGAGAGGGGAGGGGAGAGGAGAGGGAGGAGAGGGAGGAGAGGAGAGGAGGGAGGAGAGGAGAGGAGAGGAGAGGAGAGGAGAGGAGAGGAGAGGAGAGGAGAGGAGAGGAGAGGAGAGGAGAGGAGAGGAGAGGAGAGGAGAGGAGAGGAGAGGAGAGGAGAGGAGAGGAGAGGAGAGGAGAGGAGAGGAGAGGGGAGGGGAGGGGAGGGGAGGGGAGGGGAGGGGAGGGGAGGGGAGGGGAGGGAGGAGAGGAGAGGAGAGGAGTGGAGTGGAGTGGAGGGGAGGGGAGGGAAGGGGAGGGAAGGGGAGGGGAGGGGAGGGGAGAGGAGAGGACTTTCCCCTTTAAACCTCCTAATTAGTGAGAATATTAAGATTGTCATCGTGGTTGCAGCTGTGTTTTACACCATCATGCCGTGCTGCTTTCTGCTCCGCTCTGCTCTGGTCAGCTGGGCTACAAATGACGCACCATGGAAGAAGTGGAGTAGTCTGCTCAGTAGGCCAGAACAGAACCCAGTTGGTATGAGGTTCTCTCTGTTATAATATGATGATGATATCCACAGTTAGTCAGTTCAGTGCTGCTCTGAAAGAGACAATCCCTGCCTGGGAGTTCCCCAGCCCAGTGCTGCTCTGAGAGAGACAAGGCCTGCCTGGGAGTTCCCCAGCCCAGTGCTGCTCTGAGAGAGACAAGGCCTGCCTGGGAGTTCCCCAGCCCAGTGCTGCTCTGAGAGAGACAAGGCCTGCCTGAATCATATCTCCCTCAGACTTTGAACAATATGTTCCTCCTCCCTGTACACCCCCCAACCTTGTCTCTCAGTACCTCACCAGCCTTGTCTCTCAGTACCCCACCAGCCTTGTGTCGCTCAGTACCCCATCAGCCTTGTGTCGCTCAGTACCCCACCAGCCTTGTCTCTCAGTACCCCACCAGCCTTGTCTCTCAGTACCCCACCAGCCTTGTCTCTCTCAGTACCCACCAGCCTTGTGTCTCTCAGTACCCCACCAGCCTTGTCTCTCAGTACCCCACCAGCCTTGTCTCTCTCAGTACCCCACCAGCCTTGTCTCTCAGTACCCCACAAGCCTTGTCTCTCTCAGTACCCCACCAGCCTTGTCTCTCAGTACCCCCACAGTCTTGTCTCTCAGTACCCCACCAGCCTTGTCTCTCAGTACCCCACCAGCCTTGTCTCTCAGTACTCCACCAGCCTTGTCTCTCAGTACCCCACCAGCCTTGTCTCTCAGTACCCCACCAGCCTTGTGTCTCAGTACCCCACCAGCCTTGTCTCTCAGTACCCCACCAGCCTTGTCTCTCAGTACCCCACCAGCCTTGTGTCTCAGTACCCCACCAGCCTTGTCTCTCAGTACCCCACCAGCCTTGTCTCTCAGTACCCCACCAGCCTTGTCTCTCAGTACCCCCCAGCCTTGTCTCTCTCCCTGTCAGCACAAGGCCGCAGCGCAGACAGAATGAAAACAAGACGGCGCTCTTGGCTATTGTAAACAATGGGACCAAAACAAGTGGTGGAACAACAGAGCAGTTAGTTCCCTGTTCTCTGGGCTCTGGGCTCCCAGGCAGCAGCAGTTTAAAGGACCATTAAAGAGTTGGTTCTCAGGACAGATTACTCACACAGAGGACAGCATCCAAGGGACTGACAGACCAGACCAGAGACGCACGTCCATGTCAGCGAGTGGTGGAGACTAGGGTTTATGGAGATTTATGAGTTCATTAAGCTTGGGTCCTAACCAAGGTCGTAGCTGAGGTCAGTCACTCCGTCAGGACTGGAAGGAGATGGAGTGAGCCAGCATTGTCCTTGCTTACCAGTGTTTGTCTGACCAGTTGTCTGTCTGGCCCTCACATCTCACTGTAGGAATTGAATGGCTAGCCCATCTGCTTCTCATCAAGTTCAACTGTGATGTTTGGGTGTTGTGATGTTGTAGAGGTACAAGACAAGGATGTTTTCTCTCTCCCTTGCTCTTTGTTTAGCGTTAAAGGGGAAGCTCACCCATTTTTACATCTAGACTTATTTTCACTCTTTCGGTGATTGTAGTTGATCCCCCAAAACCGATTTTTTTTAAATATTTGGTGTCATTACAGAGAAAATTGATAGACACATTTTGGTGACTTACCACTTTCCATTGACTGCAGTGCATTATGAAAATGTGTCTAAAGCATGTTAGAAAATACTCCAAAACACTCCAAACCAACTCATATTACATTAGAATCCCGTTCTACTGTCTCATAAATCCATATTTGCATATTTTTGTTGTTGTTGTAAACAGCTACATTCAAACATGGATTTATGGCACAGCGGATACATCATTCAGAATGGGATTCTGATGTAATATGAGTTGTTGTGGAGTGTTTTAGAGTGTTTTCTAATATGCTTTAGACATATTTGCATTAAAGTCAATGGCAAGTGATGACAAAATGTTTCTACCTATTTTCTCTGTAACTAAACAAAATATATAACAAATACTAAAGCACAGAATGAGTGAAAATAAGGCCACATGTAAAAATGTGTTAACTTTCCCTGAATATCTCTCTTTACTCTAGCCATCTCTGTCTGTCTTTATCTCTCCCTCAGCTTCCTGTGTCTTCCTGTCAGCTCTGCCTCAGCTCTGCCTCAGCTCCCTGTGTCTTCCCGTCAGCTCTGCTGCCTCAGCTCCCTGTGTCTTCCTGCCAGCTCTGCTGCCTCAGCTCCCTGTGTCTTCCTGTCAGCTCTGCTGCCTCAGCTCCCTGTGTCTTCCTGCCAGCTCTGCTGCCTCAGCTCCCTGTGTCTTCCTGTCAGCTCTGCTGCCTCAGCTCCCTGTGTCTTCCTGCCAGCTCTGCTGCCTCAGCTCCATGTGTCTTCCTTTCAGCTCTGCTGCCTCAGCTCCCTGTTTCTTCCTGTCAGCTCTGCTGCCTCAGCTCCCTGTGTCTTCCTGCCAGCTGTGCCTCAGCTCTGCCTCAGCTCCCTGTGTCTTCCTGTCAGCTCTGCTGCCTCAGCTCCCTGTGTCTTCCTGCCAGCTCTGCTGCCTCAGCTCCCTGTGTCTTCCTGTCAGCTCTGCTGCCTCAGCTCCCTGTGTCTTCCTGTCAGCTCTGCTGCTTCAGCTCCCTGTTTCTTCCTGTCAGCTCTGCTGCCTCAGCTCCCTGTGTCTTCCTGCCAGCTCTGCCTCAGCTCTGCCTCAGCTCCCTGTGTCTTCCTGTCAGCTCTGCGGCCTCAGCTCCCTGTGTCTTCCTGCCAGCTCTGCTGCCTCAGCTCCCTGTGTCTTCCTGTCAGCTCTGCTGCCTCAGCTCACTGTGTCTTCCTGCCAGCTCTGCTGCCTCAGCTCCCTGTGTCTTCCTGTCAGCTCTGCTGCCTCAGCTCCCTGTGTCTTCCTGCCAGCTCTGCTGCCTCAGCTCCCTGTGTCTTCCTGTCAGCTCTGCTGCCTCAGCTCCCTGTGTCTTCCTGTCAGCTCTGCTGCCTCAGCTCCCTGTTTCTTCCTGTCAGCTCTGCTGCCTCAGCTCCCTATGTCTTCCTGCCAGCTCTGCCTCAGCTCTGCCTCAGCTCCCTGTGTCTTCCTGTCAGCTCTGCTGCCTCAGCTCCCTGTGTCTTCCTCTCAGCTCTGCTGCCTCAGCTCCCTGTGTCTTCCTGTTAGCTCTGCTGCCTCAGTTCTGCCTCAGCTCCCTATGTCTTCCTGCCAGCTCTGCCTCAGCTCTGCCTCAGCTCCCTGTGTCTTCCTGTCAGCTCTGCTGCCTCAGCTCCCTGTGTCTTCCTGTCAGCTCTGCTGCCTCAGCTCCCTGTTTCTTCCTGTCAGCTCTGCTGCCTCAGCTCCCTGTGTCTTCCTGCCAGCTCTGCCTCAGCTCTACCTCAGCTCCCTGTGTCTTCCTGTCAGCTCTGCTGCCTCAGCTCCCTGTGTCTTCCTGCCAGCTCTCTCTGCCTCAGCTCCTGTGTCTTCCTGCCAACTCTGCCTCAGCTCTGCCTCAGCTCCCTGTGTCTTCCTGCCAGCTCTGCCTCAGCTCTGCCTCAGCTCCCTGTGTCTTCCTGTCAGCTCTGCTGCCTCAGTTCCCTGTGTCTTCCTGCCAGCTCTGCCTCAGCTCCCTGTGTCTTCCTGCCAGCTCTGCCTCAGCTCTGCCTCAGCTCCCTGTGTCATCCTGTCAGCTCTGCCTCAGCTCCCTGTGTCATCCTTCCAGCTCTGCCTCAGCTCTGACTCAGGGATTTGAAGAAAAGCTGAGGAGCACATGTTGAAGTTGATGCAGTGTTTCTGATGCTGTATGACTGTGCAAGTGTAGACCTGTGTTCAGTAGGCACGAAACAGAAGAACACTGTCAGAAACAGAGTGAAACAGGAACGTACTATCTGAACTTGTCTGTCCAACAACGGTTTACTGATGTATTAGGTTTCTGTGTTCTCACTGTGTAGACCTGGTTTACTGATGTATTAGGTTTCTGTGTTCTCACTGTGTAGACCTGGTTTACTGATGTATTAGGTTTCTGTGTTCTCATTGTTTAGACCTGGTTTACTGATGTATTAGGTTTCTGTGTTCTCACTGTGTAGACCTGGTTTACTGATGTATTAGGTTTCTGTGTTCTCACTGTGTAGACCTGGTATACTGATGTATTAGGTTTCTGTGTTATCATTGTTTAGACCTGGTTTACTGATGTATTAGGTTTCTGTGTTCTCACTGTGTAGACCTGGTTTACTGATGTTATACTGTATGTCTCTCTGTGCTCCTTGTAGACGCGGTCCAGTCAGTCTCAGTGCTGTTGGAGCTGCAGGATGTGCTGGTGAGGACAGGTCTGAAGGATCGGAGCCGTCTGCTGCTGGGGCCTTTCTCCTGTAGCGCCGCCCTAGAGGCCAGGTGGTGTAGGCACAGCAGCAGTCCTGGACCTGAGACTGGAGCCCCTAAACTACTGCTGGACCTGAAGGGAGGCCTACTGCAGGTGAGATGGAACATCCAAAATCCTGGTTGGAGGGTCCCAGATTTCCTGCTTATTTCTTCCTGATTCCGGGAATCTTCCAACCAGGTTTTCTGGAGAAATAACCGTATTTTGGGAAATGTACCAGATTTTTGCAAACCTATATGCCATTCTCACCCTAATTCAGTAACATAGTAACATAGAGTTAGTCCACCTTTCTGTCAGAGATCTAATAAGACCAGAAATATTCCCATACTGTCATTCATCACCCTATTGAACTCTACTGGTTATTCATCACCCTAATGACTTCTACTGGTTATTCATCACCCTAATGACCTCTACTGGTTATTCATCACCCTAATGACCTCTACTGGTTATTAATCACCCTAATGACCTCGACTGGTTATTCATCACCCTAATGACCTCTACTGGTTATTCATCACCCTAATGACCTCTACTGGTTATTCATCACCCTAATGACCTCGACTGGTTATTCATCACCCAAATGACCTCTACTGGTATTCATCACCCTAATGACCTCTACTGGTTATTCATCACCCTAATGACCTCTACTGGTTAGTCATCACCCTAATGACCTCTACTGGTTATTCATCACCCTAATGACCTCTACTGGTTATTCATCACCCTATTGAACTCTACTGGTTATTCATCACCCTAATGACTTCTACTGGTTATTCATCACCCTAATGACCTCTACTGGTTATTCATCACCCTAATGACCTCTACTGGTTATTAATCACCCTAATGACCTCGACTGGTTATTCATCACCCTAATGACCTTGACTGGTTATTCATCACCCTAATGACCTCTACTGGTTATTCATCACCCTAATGACCTCGACTGGTTATTCATCACCCTAATGACCTCTACTGGTATTCATCACCCTAATGACCTCTACTGGTTATTCATCACCCTAATGACCTCTACTGGTTAGTCATCACCCTAATGACCTCTACTGGTTATTCATCACCCTAATGACCTCTACTGGTTATTCATCACCCTAATGACCTCTACTGGTTATTCATCACCCTAATGACCTCTACTGGTTATTCATCACCCTAATGACCTCGACTGGTTATTCATCACCCTAATGACCTCTACTGGTTATTCATCTCTCTAATGACCTCTACTGGTTAGTCATCACCCTAATGACTACTGGTCATTCATCACTCTAATGACCTCTACTGGTTATTCAGCACCCTAATGACCTCAACAGGTTATTCACTACTCTAATTACCTCAACTGGTTATTCACTACTCTAATGACCTCTACTGGTCATTCATCACTCTAATGACCTCTACTGGTTATTCACTACCCTAATGACCTCTACTGGTTATTCATCACCCTAATGACCTCTACTGGTTATTCATCACCCTAATGACCTCTACTGGTTATTCATCACCCTAATGACCTCTACTGGTTATTCATCACTCTAATGACCTCTACTGGTTATTCATCACCCTAATGACCTCTACTGGTTATTCATCACCCTAATGACCTCGACTGGTTATTCACTACCCTAATGACCTCTACTGGTTATTCATCACCCTAATGACCTTTACTGGTTATTCATCACCCTAATGGCCTCGACTGGTTATTCACTACCCTAATGACCTCGACTGGTTATTCATCACCCTAATGACATCTACTGGTTATTCATCACCCTAATGACCTCGACTGGTTATTCACTACCCTAATGACCTCGACTGGTTATTCATCACCCTAATGACCTCTACTGGTTATTCATCACCCTAATGACCTCTACTGGTTATTCACTACTCTAATGACCTCTACTGGTTATTCATCACTCTAATGACCTCTACTGGTTATTCATCACTCTAATGACCTCTACTGGTTATTCATCACCCTAATGACCTCTACTGGTTATTCATCACTCTAATGATCTCTACTGGTTATTCATCACCCTAATGACCTCTACTGGTTATTCACTACCCTAATGACCTCTACTGGTTATTCATCACTCTAATGACCTCTACTGGTTATTCACTACTCTAATGACCTCTACTGGTTATTCATCACTCTAATGACCTCTACTGGTTATCCATCACCCTAATGACCTCTACTGGTTATCCATCACCCTAATGACCTCTACTGGTTATTCATCCCTCTTCAGTTGATCTGGTTATTTTCAGAGGTCTTTAAAGTCCCTTTAGGGAAGACTGGTACTTCTACTGTTAGTGTGTTACTGGAAGTATTCCACATTACAGCAGGGGGAAACTTCTTGACGATCACTCACAACTCAACACTTAATACAAAATCATACATTTCCTTCTGCAAATACGGAGCGTTTGTGGTGTTTTAATCAAGTGTTGTACAAAAACTACCCGAATTCCTTCCGTTCCGGCACCAAACCTGAGAAATCCCCACATTTTCCTGTTTTTACATTTAGTCACAATCCTCCACAGCAGAGAGTAGAGCCCAGTGTGGTTCCATGTGTGAACTGTTTTTTTTGACTCAGAGATTCCAGCCTTCCCGGCCAAACTCCATCCCCAACCCCAATCCCCAACCCCTTCCTTAACCACCAACCCCATCCCGAACTCCCACCCCAACCCCCAGCCCAATCCTCACCCTATATAGTAGTGCACTGTCATGTAATATTTCCCCTTGTGTCTGTGCAGGTGTTCTGGGGCCAGGAGCATGTCAACTGTCTGAGGCTGGTGTATGAGCACATCCAGGCTTACCTCCAGAGGAACCAGGGGACAGGGTCTGAGTCTGGGACTGGGGCTGGGGCTGAAGACGATAAGCCCGCCTTTGACTCCCAGTCACCCCCCTCCCCTGGATCCCCCTCCTCCAGGACAGAACATAGCTCTGATGACCTCCGCACCGGGCTATTCCAATACATACAGGACTCAGGTAACCATCATACTTCACTACTAACTATTCACCTGCTTCTCAAGTAATAACACACTATTCCTAACTACACAGGACTGTTCTATTAGATACAGGACTCAGGTAATAACACAATATTACTATCTATTAGATACAGGACTCGGGTAATAACACAATATTACTATCTATTAGATACAGGACTCAGGTAATAACACAATATTACCATATATTAGATACAGGACTCAGGTAATAACACAATATTACTATCTATTAGATACAGGACTCAGGTAATAACACAACATTACTATCTATTAGATACAGGACTCAGGTAATAACACAATATTACTATCTATTAGATACAGGACTCAGGTAATAACACAATATTACTATCTATTAGATACAGGACTCAGGTAATAACACAATATTACTATCTATTAGATACAGGACTCAGGTAATAACACAATATTACTATCTATTAGATACAGGACTCAGGTAATAACACAATATTACTATCTATTAGATACAGTACTCAGGTAATAACACAATATTACCATCTATTAGATACAGGACTCAGGTAATAACACAATATTACTATCTATTAGATACAGGACTCAGGTAATAACACAATATTACTATCTATTAGATACAGGACTCAGGTAATAACACAATATTACCATATATTAGATACAGGACTCAGGTAATAACACAATATTACTATCTATTAGATACAGTACTCAGGTAATAACACAATATTACCATATATTAGATACAGGACTCAGGTAATAACACACACCTCACTACAGTCAATATGGCAACACGACACAGCAACAGAATATGGAGACGTTGGTGAGGAAGTGCAAAGACCTTTATAATAGTATAAGGATGTGGTCCAACACTGAGGGCTTCTGGATGTGGAAAGAAAGTGTACCCAAACACGCTTCAGCCCCGCTTCAACAAAAAGTGAATCAGGTCTCAGAGAGGAAGACGTTACGCCTGTTTCCAGTAAAACACAGTTTGTTCACCTCCCTGGGCACACTGTCCTCCACACGTACACACACACGCACTGTGGAGAGAGATCAAACCCTCTCCTCACCCTATCAGCTGTCTGCCCTGTCAGCTGTGGTCAGTCAGCCTCTCCTCTCTTTGTTTGTTGCATCATTCCTCTGGTCTTTGATGCATTTTAATACGGATGTTCCTCTAAAGGAGGCAGGAGGCTTCCTTTCCAGTAGTAAAACATTAGAGAGTCTGTCTGCAACATGTTTTGACCAACGGCCAGGGAGCTGGAGCTGGGGAGGGTAGAGGAGGGGTGTAGTCCTCAGACCTGGGTTCAAACAGTATCCTTTTGTTTTCAAATTCTTTGACTGTTTGATTGTTCGTGCCTGGTGTAGCTAGCTGGGCAGGATGTGTGACTTTTGGGATTATTCCATTGGTTCCACTGTGCCAGGCAAGCTCAATCAAGCCCAGATAAAGAAAACAATAATACTTGAACTCAGATCTGCAGTAATCCTAAGGCCATGGTGCCTGGAGGTGGGTTGGTACGTTCCCTAGAAGACAGTTAAACAGACATGAATGAGAACACAACCATGAAAGCTGCTCTCTTCATCCATAACATTACCAAACACAAGCTGAGCCACTGTGAAAACAACATATTCTCCACCTTCAAGTGGGCTGCCGAGGGAGAGGGAGTGAGCGAGAGAGCGAGGGAGGAGAGGGAGAGAGGGGAGAGAGGGAGAGAAGGGAGAGAGAGAGAGGGAGAGAGACAGAGACAGAGAGAGCACAGTGCTGCAGATCAAACACTAATAGACTACAGAGGACTAGACTAGAGGACGAATGAAAACTTATGTTCTGGAAGGAGGAGCCCAGTGTTTGTTCCCCTGAGGGCAAAGCATCAATTCTTCACTTGACTTTTAATCTAATAAACAGTTTTCAAACAGCAGCCATGACCAACATCACACAAACATACACACGCTAACACACCACACACACACACACACACACACACACACACGTGTGAGCACACTCACACACACACACATGCGTGGGACCACACACAAAGTTCTGTAGTTTATTGCAACATTTCAACCAGGTCTTTGTGTTCTATAACCTCCTTCCTGTCTCCCCCCAGCCTCTCAGAAACTGCCTGGTCCATATGAGGTTGTGTTCTATAACCTCCTTCCTGTCTCCCCCCAGCCTCTCACAAACTGTCTGGTCCATATGAGGTTGTGTTCTATAACCTCCTTCCTGTCTCCCCCCAGCCTCTCAGAAACTGTCTGGTCCATATGAGGTTGTGTTCTATAACCTCCTTCCTGTCTCCCCCCAGCCTCTCAGAAACTGTCTGGTCCATATGAGGTTGTGTTCTATAACCTCCTTCCTGTCTCCCCCCAGCCTCTCAGAAACTGTCTGGTCCATATGAGGTTGTGTTCTATAACCTCCTTCCTGTCTCCCCCCAGCCTCTCAGAAACTGTCTGGTCCATATGAGGTTGTGTTCTATAACCTCCTTCCTGTCTCCCCCCAGCCTCTCAGAAACTGTCTGGTCCTTATGAGGTTGTGTTCTATAACCTACCTTCCTGTCTCCCCCCAGCCTCTCAGAAACTGTCTGGTCCATATGAGGTTGTGTTCTATAACCTCCTTCCTGTCTCCCCCCAGCCTCTCAGAAACTGCCTGGTCCATATGAGGTTGTGTTCTATAACCTCCTTCCTGTCTCCCCCCAGCCTCTCAGAAACTGTCTGGTCCATATGAGGTTGTGTTCTATAACCTCCTTCCTGTCTCCCCCCAGCCTCTCAGAAACTGCCTGGTCCTTATGAGGTTGTGTTCTATAACCTCCTTCCTGTCTCCCCCCAGCCTCTCAGAAACTGCCTGGTCCTTATGAGGTTGTGTTCTATAACGAAACAGACGACAGTCCCGGCGTCATGCTGTGGCGTTACCCAGAATCCCGTGTGTTGACCTTTGTACGCATCACTCCAGTCCCCTTCAACACCACCGAGGACCCCGAGATCAGCACCGCAGACCTGGGAGACAGACTACAGGTTAGTACCATACCATCTATCTATCTATCTATCTATCTATCTATCTATCTATCTATCTATCTATATATCTATCTATCTATCCATCTATCCATCTATCCATCCATCCATCCAATGGTCCTAGTGCTGTGCTAAAGCCTCTGACAGAAGGCAGGGTTAATACCCATGATAATGAAAAACATCAGAAATATGTACATGTTAAGGCTGCTTTTAGTCAGATGTAGAAACATGATCTGTTTTGGCAACATGGAGGAATATAATATAATGTATCAGTGCTTTTTGAAAGAAGTGATTTCTGGGTCATTATTAGACAATGGATCTGATTTACACATCTGACACACAGCCCTCCGTCCACAGCCCTCTTCATAATATTATATTATTCTCCAAATACTCACGCACTACTAAGCCGGGGGGTTGGGGGGAGATGGTTGGAGATGGGGGAGAAGGGGGTGTGCACGTGGGGGTTTAGAACATAGTTCTTTGTCATTAGCCAGATCCTCAGCTCTCTCTCATTCTGATCCCATATTTAATTGATTTCAGCCTCCCGGTGCTCTGAGATTTTTATTTGCTTTTCTTTATATGAAAACTTCAGAAGGGCTCAATTAATTCATTTTTCATTTGATTTCTCAGAAGGCAGAGAAAGTCCAGTTACAGGGAACGGAAATGCAGCCATAAAAGTCCACAAACAGGAATGGCTCAGTTTGCTTCCAAGGAATTTAATTGACTTCTCATGAAGAGCTGGGTTGAGGAGGGGAGAGAAGGGTGGAGAGGAGAGGAGGTGGTCGTAACTTCTCAGGGCTCTAAAATTACCATGTGGCCACATGGAGGGGAGGGGGGGAACCCCTGGAGCTGGTCTGAACTCACTGTTTCACTCTCTCCTCTCTGCTCTCTGGTCTCTGGGCAGGGCAGGAGGCAGGCTGGTTCTCTGGTCAGGACCCCTGTCATACCTGGAGGAGGAGGGGGGGGGGGGGGGGGGGCAGGTGAACGGAACACAGCTGGGCTCCCTCTCTGCTGGCCAGAATAGATGGATAAAGAGAGAGAGAGAGGTAGAAACAGAGAGGGGGATATTTCCTGCATTGAGCCAGGCCGCTGCACTCAGCCCCACTGTCCTCAGAGCAGATCACATTAACATTTTATAAAATCCAGATTTCCTGCATTTAAATAGTTGTGGTTTCACGACTGGTTCCAGGACCTCAGAGGGGAATTCAAACCCACTTCCATTAGTCAAAGACCAATTGTTGCCGTGCTGTTTTTACAGTAGGAGGGTTGGGTGGTGAGGGCGGGGGAGGGGAGAGCACCTCGGTTATCCGTCCAGCGATTCCCACCTGCAGGGGGAGAAAGGGGGAGTGAGGGGAGGAGGGAAAGGGTGACTCATTCTCACCTTCTCACCACCGTGTGGTCTTCTTAATCATAGGCAGGTGTCCTGTCCTCTGCTCCCCCCCCCTCACTCTCTCTCCCTCCTTCTCCCCCCTCTTTCTCTCTCTCCCCCCCCCTCTCTCTCTCTCCCTCCCCTCTCGCTTTCTCTCTCTCTCTCTCTCTCCTCCCTCTCCCCTCTCTCTCTTTCTCCTTCCATCCCTCTCCCCCTCTCTCTCCCGCCCTCCCTCCCCCATCTCCCCCCCCCCTCCTCCTCTCTCCTCCCCTCTCCTCTATCTCCTCCCTCTCCCCCCTCTTCTCTCTCTCGCGCCCCCTCTCTCTCTCCCTCCCCTCTCTCTCTCTCTCTCTCTCTCTCTCTCCTCTCTCGCTCCTCTCTCCCGCTCCTCTCTCTCTCTCTCTCTCCCCTCTCTCTCTCTCTCCTCTACTCTCTCTCTATATGGGGTAGTCAGAGTCTGTGAACATGGAGTAAACATGGGAGTGATGATTCCCAGAGAGCTCAGGAGGTAAATGAGATATTAGAACAGAGTGATGATTCCCAGAGAGCTCAGGAGGTAAAGGAGATATTGGAACAGAGTGACGTTCATACTGTGGGGTTTGGTCTCATGAAACACTTCATAACACACCTTCAATCCCCTTTCCTGGTGTCCTGACCACCCTGCTGCGGTCTGTGTGAC